CCTTCAAAAATCCATCCCCCGGGACACGTCAATCCCAAGTTTTCTGAAACTTTCACTTCTTCCATACTCCTCCCCCCCCAATTTGTACCCCAATTTTTTTTAAAAAAAACATTTGTTCCCCTTTCTTCCCCCTTCCTTTTTTCTTTTGGTTCCCCTTTCAACTTTCTACCTTTACACAAACTCACCCAAACAAAACCTTTTTGAAATTTTTTTTAGAACCCCCCATAAGAAACATTTAATAAATCACCCAAAAAGAAAATTGGCTTTCCCTTTTTTGAATTTGATTCCCCTTAATTTTAAAATTCCCACCCCTTCCGAACCCCTGAATTTATTTCTTTTAAAACCCCCATCTTTTAAATAAAATTAAAAAACCCATGGGGGACATTCACATCCGGTTAAGACCTATTTTTCCCGGGAAGTAGTCTCCCTCTTTCACAAAACCCAAACCTTTGGGGCCTCAACCCTCAAAAAAAGCTCTTTACAGCTTTTAAAGAAACCTTCCCACCTATTCCATAAACTTGCAAATTTTGCCCTTTGGCTCCTCTATCCCTCTATCATATCCCCTTTTTAAATCCAAAAAGGGCAAAAAAAAATTCCCCTACCTTTTTTAAATTGTTCACATATATGTTAAAATGAAAACCACTTGATCTACACATCCCCTCCCCACTTGAAGCCTCCTTGCTCATCCGCAATTCTACATTTGTCTTACTCTTTAAATTTTTTCAATTTTAAACTCTACGTATACTTTTCCTGGAAATTTTACTCAGTAAACTTATTCCCCTATAATTTTTTCAATCCTTTTTTTCCCCTTTCCCCTTTTTAAAGGAACTTACACGCTCCCCCGCCCAAAACCCCAGGGGACCCTTCCCCCCTTTCATACATTTTTAAAACAAAAAATTACCCAACCTCCAAAAACTATATCCCCCCGGGTTTAACTTTTTGTCTGATCCCATCGTTTTCCGCTGCTTTACCCCCTTTCATTTCCCTTTAAAAACCCCAAGTTTTCTCCACCACACCCTTTCAAAATTTCCCCTTTTTACTCCTAAAAGTTTTGGGATACCTCCCCGGCCAGGGCTGAAATTTCTTGCCTCCCTTTCTTTCCCCAAAAATTTAAAAGTTCCCCAAAATATTTTCGCCCTCTACCTAAAACCTCCCCTTTCCCCCTTACTAACTCCCCCCCTTTTTTTTAACCCGGGAAAAACCATCCCTTTCCCCGGCTTTCTTAAAAATTTTTTAAATCACTCCAAAAAATTTTTTTTTTATTTTCATTAAAAATTTTTTGACAGTGCCTCTCCCCCCCTCTTTCATCTGCTCTCCTTTTTAAATCTCTCACCACTCTTTCATTTCTTTTACTCTCCCTATTTTTGTCTCTTATAACACTTTTTGCTTTGTTTAAAAAACCCCTTGTAAGCTACCCTTTTTTTTCTTTTTCCCACCCTTTTTCTCATTCCCCAATCACTCCTCTTTCCCCCTGCCCCCACCCTCCTATAACCCAAAATTCTGCCCCACATTCTAATACTGCATTTTTAAAACCCATTCCAAACCCCCCCTTTAACCCCCCCCCCCCTACTCATCTTTGCATAGCCCACCTTTTTGGGCCCTTTGTTTTGTTTATCTCGCCCGAACTTCCCCCTCCCCTTTGTTTTTTACACTTTCCCCCTCCCTTTTTACTTGTTGTTTTTCCCGTTTTCCCTTTTTTCCATCTAACCCCTTTTCTTAACCCGTAGTCAACTAAATAATGTTTGATATTACCGTTGCCCCTCCCATAAACATGTTTCAAACCGGAGCCTACCCCTCAAACCCTTTTTTCCCAATCCAAAACTAACCCAAATACTTTCATTTCTTTCCCCAAATCATCCTTGTTTTATTTTTTTTTTTCCTCTTTTTTTAAAAAATGTATTACTTATTACCAAATAAATTTTGCAGAAAAAAATTCGGGGGGTGTGGAAAAATTTGGGCGGTGTGGAGTTTAATTTAAAAAGGGATTTTTCAGAGGGGAGAAGGGGGTTGTTGAGGGTGGTTTGGTATTTTGAGAGAATTTGGTTTAAAATAAAAATTCCCTGGGAAAACTTTTAAAAAAATAGGGGAAGGAAAAAGGGGTAGGGGGGCGTCCCCGAAAGGGTTGGGAAAGAGGGGGAAAGGAGGTTTTGTGGGGAGGGGCTTGGGGCTTCCCGCAAACGTCATGAGGTGTTAGATAGGAAGGAATGGAGACGAATGATACTTGGGACCCCGACGATCTGTTGGAGTGTGAGCGGGTTTAAAATTTTTTTTAAGGGATTCGGGAAACCGGTTTTTTTTTATATTTTGTCGGACTTGAGTCCTGGAAATGGGAAGTACAAGCCCTGCACTTTAAAGGGGGGTTTTGGGAAAATTTTGGGAGTTTGGAGGGATATGTTGTTTAAAACTTTATAGTATATGCTTCCCAAACTGTTGTATTTGACACCTCTTTCAAAAGCAGTGATTTAAATTTTGAGTGTGGTGAAATGTTGAATGATGATGAAAGTATTTTCTTTTTTTGGGGGTTTTTTTTTTTTTTTTTGGGGCACCCTGCCCCGGGGGGTTTTGGGGGGACGGGCCCCACTTGTTGAAAAAAAAAAAAAATGTATTAAAAAACCCCCTTTCAAAAAAATAGCCCCCAAAATTTAAAAAAGGGGCCCCCCCTTTTAATTTACCCCGGATAAAATTTTTTAAAATTACTATTTTTTTAATTTGAAAGAAATAAACACAAAAATGGTTAAAATTTCCCCTACCCAAATAAAAAACTCTACTCCCCAATTTTCCTTTGGAAACCCCAAGTTCTTAACCCCCTTTTTGGAATTTTTTAAAACCCAAAAATTTGGAAAAAAATTCCCTTTTTGGCCAAAAGTATTATAAATTTTTGGTTTTAAATTACTAAAACCCCCCTTTTAAAAATTTTTTTAATGAAAATCTCCAATTAGGGGTTTAAAAAAGGAAAGGGGGAAAACTTTTTCCCATAAATAAAAATTTTAACAAATGTTAAAATTCCCCCTTTGGTTTGTTTTTTTTTTTATAAATATGGGGTGGGGTTTAAAGAAGGTTAAAGGTTTTAGGGTTTTCCGGTGGAAGGGGGGGACTAAATTTAAGGGAAAAAATAAAAGGGGAAAAAAACCCCTTGGCCAAGAACTTTTAAGATTTAAAAAAAAAAATTCCGAAAGGGTTTTTCATTTAAAATTTTTGTAAAGGTAGGTTGAAAGTGAAATAAGAAAGAAAAGGTGTTTCCGGGGAATTTTAAAAGTTTAAAGAAAAAGAAAAAATTTACCCCTTTGGGGCATACAAAAAAAAGGTTTTTTCATACTTGGGGAGGGGACCTTCCCCCGGTTTTTGGTTTGAAGGATACCTTTTTTTTTTTTTTTTAAAAAGGGGCCCCCCAGGAGGGTGCCCCCAAAAAAAAATTAAAAAAAAGAAAATACAAAAAATTAAAAATATATATAAAACCCAACACTGTTTTAGGGTGGAACAAAGGAGGTTTCAGAGAAGGTGGGGATGTAGATCAATAGTTCACTTTGAAGCAAGTTTTTTTTGCATTTATGGTTTTAGAAAAAAGGCAATGATAGAGGGATAGGGGGCAAGTGGCAGATGTTGCAAGTATATGGTAGGTGTTAAGTTACTAAATCTGAAGATTTTTTTGGGATACTGAGGCTAAAGTTGGGGTGTTAGAAGAGGGGGAGACTACTTCCCAGTAAAAGTAGGCTTAGACAGGGATGTGAAATGCACCAGGGTTGTTTAATATATTTAATAGGGGGTTGTAAAAAAAAGTAAAAGGGTAGGGTGTTCGGGAGAGGGGGGGGGGATTAATTTTTGGGGAAAAAATAAAAAAAGGGGAACTGCACATTGCTTTTTGTGATGAACTGTGTTATGGGAATTCTAAAATAAAAATTGCGAAGGTTAGGGGGCGAGTTTGGGGGAGTGGTGAAAAGGTAGAAAGTTGAAAGTGAACATGAAAAGTTTAAGGTGAAAAGGGGTATAAAATGATTTAGATAAAAAAAAATTGGATATCAAATTGGGGAGGGGGAAATTTGGGAAAAAAAGTGAATGTTTTCAGATATTTGGGGGAGTTGACTGTCGGCGGAGGGGATTTATGAAGGTGACTTAATCATAGAATTGACGAGGGAAAAACAGCGGTGGTGCATTGAGGTATTGGGAGAAAAAAAATGTTATCTATGGAGGAAAGAAGGGAATGTATGAAAGTATAGTAGTACCAACCTGTTTTAGGGGTGAAGCGGGGTTGTGAATGCAGCATGAGATGTCCTGTCTAAGGGAAAATGTGTGGTGTAAATATTATGCGAAATTTTTTGGGTGTAAAAAATTAGGGGAAGGTGTGGGTTTTAAAAAGTTTTATCAGAGGGCTAAAGAGGGTTACTGAGGGGGTTTTGGTATTTAGAGAAAATGGATCCAAGTAGAATTACGTGGACGCGTAAAAATCTGGGGGGAAGGAAGGGGGGGGTGGGGTTGTCATCGAAAAGGGGGGAAGGAAGGGGAAAGGGGAGGTTTTATGGGAAGGGGCTTGGTTTCCAGCAGGCGTGCATGAGCATGTTTAAATTTGGAGTGATAGACAAATGGTTTTGGGGGCCTGGACAACTGTTGGGTGTGAGCGGAAAATATTTATGAAGGGATTCGGGGAAACCCGGGTTTTTATATACCGGATTGAGTCCTGGAAATGGTAAGTACAATGCCTACACTCTAAAGGAGGGTTTTGGGATATTGGCAGTTTGGAGGGATATATTGTGCATTTTTATATGTATATACTTCTAAACTGTTGTATTCTGAGCACCTCTGCAAAAACAGTGATTATGTGTGAGTGAGGTGAAAGTGCTGAATGATGATGAAAGTATTTTCTTTCTGGGTCACCCTGCCTCAGTGGGAGACGGGCAACTTGTTAAAAAAAACAAAAAACCTACTGCATACAGTATAGTATATTAAAACGACATTTCTAATGCTATACAAAAATAAACAATAAAATAAAATGGGTTTCTTGTTACCTGGTGGTTCAGTGTCAGGAAAACACAGTGATATGAACGAGCTAATGTTCTCCATGAAACCTCGTTTCTTGGCAAAAACATCATTACAGTCCTGGAGATTGTCCTCCCAGGGCAGACGGGCACATAACCACTGAGTCATGTTGTAGCCAAGGATCTCCAGATCTCCTCGTCGTGAGTGAGCTAGGAGGGAATTTTATACGCGTAAGTTATACTAGTTAAGTTACATTATCATCTATTTTAATAACTAATACCAGACAAAGATGACTGATATACAGTGGTCCCTCGTTTTTCGTAGTTAATCCGTTCCTGCAGTTGCTACATTATCAAAATCTACGATTTTCGAATCAATTTTCCCCATAAGAAATAATGTAAATACAATTAATCCGTTCCTGACACCCAGAAGTATTAAAACAAAAAAAATTTTTACATGAAATATGCATGTAGTACATAAACAATACAATGGGAAATGATGAATGAAACATTAACAGCATAACACTTACCTTTATTGGAGATTCTTCTTAGTGTATGGGAGACTGGAGGAGGAGACAGATTGGATTGTTTACAGTTTGGAAGGGGAATCCCCTTCCATCAACACCTCAGGTACCAATTGCTTTTCTGGGGTTGCTTCTCTTCTCTGTTTCTTAATGCCACTAGGACCACCTTGAGAGTCATGGAGTCCTGTCTCGCAAAAAAACTGTGGAGAGAGCTCTTTTTTCTAGCGTCTCTTTAAACACTTCCCTAAAATGGCCCAAGACTGTCACTGTACATGTTGCCAACATGGCTTGCAACAACCTTGTCAGGGTGATGTTTCTCCATAAAGCTTTCCATCTTACACCACATAGCAAAAATTTCTAATTTCTGAAGAAGGCACCTTCTTCCATCTCTCTTCCTCCTCCTCTGCAGCAAGATTCTGAGCTGCAATCTGTTTGCTTTTTCCCGCTGAAGCTCTTGCAGCTCCTCAGTGGTGAGCTCTTCGTTGTGGTCTTCCACCAACTCTTCCACATCCTCCAAACTCACATCCAACCCCATGGAACTCCCCAGTGCCACAATTGATTTAACAAGACATAGGCTCATCAGGGTCAGTCCCAACCCCTTCAAAATCCCTCTTGTCAACACAATCTGGCCACCCAATTTTCTCCAAGCAGAGTTCAAAGTCCTGGTAGTCAAATGCTCCCAAGCCATACCTATAGGGGCTAGCAATGGAGGATGCTGAAGTGTTCTCTCCAATATTCCTTTAGGGTCAAGCGAGTGTCTGTGGTCACAGTCAAGCACCTGTGAAACGTTGCTTTGGTGTAGTTTTTTTTAAAGTTTGCAATGACCTGCTGGTTTCCCTGGGCTGGAGGAGAGGAGTTTGGGATTCGGGGCAAGAACTTTACTGTGATGAACCCAAACTCCCCGAAAATTAGTTCATCCAAGTTTAGAGGATGAGCAGGTGCATTGTCCATTACTAGCAGGCACTTGAGATCCCATTTCTTTTCAGAAGGTAATTCTTCACACTACCCGTTTTTTCACAATTTAAACAATTGTTCAGGTTTCAGTCCTTCAGCCTCTATGTACTCCTTGAATTCATGTACATATTTTTTTAAACCACCTTGTGGTACGAACTGGGCAGCCTCACCATTCCCTACCACACTGTGTATGCCAGTATGGTTCTTAAATCTCTCAAACCAACCTTTGTGGCCTTAAATTCACTCACATCACCACTATTTGCAGGCAATTTCTTTACCCGTCGTTGTGCAACTGCCCAGCCTTTTCACAAATAATCGAAAATCATAAGAGTATCTCCGCTAAAATTTTTCTTATCCACACCAATAATAACTTTCTCAAACTCTTCGAGTACTGGTGATCTCATTTTTGACAGCATAGTTACCCCCCTTTGCAACAACAGCGTCCTTGATTTTCTTTTTCTTGGCCACTACGGAAATATGGGTTTTTTAGGGTTTCTTATACATCCTGGCCAGTTCGGCCGCACTTGTGCCACTTTCATATAGCTCAATGATGTTTTTCTTAAATTCAATCGTATTTCTCACCTTTATCACAGGCTTGGCACTAGGAGCTTTCTTTGGAAACCACGGAGCTTATTTAGTACTTGCAACCACTAAAATGGAGTGGAATATTATGAAATATTTTTTTTGTAGGAGGCACGTGAGGGTACCTTCGCTCACTGGTAAACAATGCCAGACTGGCTGGGTAGGGAGGCCGCCCTGGTTCACACCGCGCGTACGCGTCCCAGACTAACTATTATTCGCGAGTCAACCTATGATTAGCGAGCCCATGTTTATACGAAAATATCTCTGATTTCCGAAATCTATGATTCCCGAGAACTATGAAAAATGAGGGACCACTCTACTCAAAACTTTTTCAGCAGCTGTCATATCAAATAAATTTGTGTACAGTTTTTAAAAAATTAAATTGCACTACAAAACGGGGGTGTCCACAAAAACACTCCCTGTTTGAAATCAGGACACCCTGTATAACAATCCCGAGGCTACTTTTGCATTTCCCAAAATATACCCTAACTTACCGCCAATATGGGCATCTCTTGAAGTGAACTCAATGGTTCCATCATGGGCTTTCCTCTGATCATACTTGTACTCCTTGTGCTTCCCATCATTTGCATAGCGGCACGCTAGGCCAAAGTCTACCAAGAACACCTGGTTTTCAGTACCAGGTTTATACCCAATCAACAAGTTGGATGCCTTTATGTCTGCATGGATGTATTCCTTGCTATGAATGTATTCCAATACATCCAACTGGAAATCAACAAAAATGGTTATATAAATACTGTCTTAAACTATCGTATCTTTATTTTTATAAAGTTATTTATATAGTTATTTACATAGTTATTTATATAGTTATAGGTTATTTTTATATAGTTGCTTATATCTGACCCTAACTTCCTCCTCCCTTAGTTTATACACTTTCACCTCCCTCTTCCTTGCTGTTGGCATTTTCTGTTTGTCCCATTTACCTCTTACTCTAACTGTAGTCTGTTGAGTATACCTGGTAAAGTGTATGGGAGAGTTATTATTGAAAGAATTAAGAGTAAGACAGAGAATAGGATAGCAGATGAACAAGAAGGCTTTAGGAAAGGTAGGGGGTGTGTGGACCAGGTGTTTACAGTGAAACATATAAGTGAACAGTATTTAGATAAGGCTAAAGAGGTTTTTGTGGCATTTATGGATTTGGAAAAGGCGTATGACAGGGTGGATAGGGGGGCAATGTGGCAGATGTTGCAGGTGTATGGTGTAGGAGGTAGGTTACTGAAAGCAGTGAAGAGTTTTACGAGGATATTTCCCAGTAAAAGTAGGCCTTAGACAAGGATGTGTTATGTCACCATGGTTGTTTAATATATTTATAGATGGGGTTGTAAGAGAAGTAAATGCGAGGGTCTTGGCAGGAGGCTTGGAATTAAAGATAAAGAATCACACAAAGTGGGAGTTGTCACAGTTGCTCTTTGCTGATGACACTGTGCTCTTGGGAGATTCTGAAGAGAAGTTGCAGAGGTTTGTGGATGAATTTGGTAGGGTATGCAAAAGAAGAAAATTAAAAGTGAATACAAGAAAGAGTAAGGTTATGAGGATAACAAAAAGATTAGGTGATGAAAGATTTGATACGGATTGGAGGGAGAGAGTTTTAGAGGGGGTGACTGTATTCAAATATTTAGGAGTGGACGTGTCAGCGGATGGGTTCTATGAAAGATGAGGTGAATCATAGAATTGATGAGGGGAAAAGGGGTAGCGGTGCACTTAGGAGTCTGTGGAGACAAAGAACTTTTTTCCTTGGAGGCAAAGAGGGGAATGTATGAGAGTATATTTTTTACCAACGCTCTTTATGGGTGTGAAGCATGGGTGATGAATGTTGCAGCGAGGAAAAGGCTGGAGGCAGTGGATATGTCATGTCTGAAGGCAATGTGTGGGTGTGAATATAATGCAGAGAATTCGTAGTTTTGGAAGTTAGGAGGAGGTGCGGGATTACCAAAACTGTTGTCCAGAGGGCTGAGGAAGGGTTGTTGGGGGGGTGGTTGGACATGTAGAGAGAAGGGAGCGAAACAGAGTGACTTCAAGATGTATCAGTCTGTATTGGAAGAAAGGGGGGGTAGGGGTCGGCCCTGGGAAAGGGTTTGGGAGGGAGGGGGTTTAAAGGAGGTTTTGTGTGCGAGGGGTTTGGACTTCCAGCGGGCATGCGTGAGCGTCTTTGATAGGAGTGAATAGAGACAAATGGTTTTTAATACTTGACGTGCTGTTGGAGAGTGAGCAAAGTAACATTTATGAAGGGATTCAGGGAAACCGGCAGGCCAGACTTGAGTCCTGGAGATGGGAAATACAGTGCCTGCACTCTGAAGGAGGGGTGTTAATGTTGCAGTTTAAAAACTGTAGTGTAAAGCACCCTTCTGGAAGACAGTGATGGAGTGAATGATGGAGAAAGTTTTTCTTTTTTTGGGCCACCCTGCCTTGGTGGGAATCGGCCAGTGTGCTAATAAAAAAAAAAACATTATTTAATAAATGTAAATATATTAATATATTAACCCTTAAACGGTCCAAACGTATATATACGTTCACTCGCGTAGCGCCCCAAATTTTTTTAGGAAAAAAAATCTTTTCTTTTAAAAGGAAAAAAGAGCATATGGTACCCAGGCATGCCCAATTATTTTAATATGGTGCACAGTGAGTGCGCACACCCATTCTCTCATGTCTAGGTGACTCAGGCTTATTGTGGCAATGTTGAATGAATGATAAAGAAAATGTATATATACATTTGGGGGCGCTAAAACCCATAACGCATATAACTTTTTTACCTTTAAGGATTAAACAACCAGGGGGACTTACACACCCCTAAGACCTACTTTTACCGGAAGTAGTCCCCCCCTCTCTTTTACACAACCTAACCTGAGCCTTAAAAATCCTCGAACAACTCTTTCAGCATTTACAACTTACCCCCCATTTCCCATATATACTTGGAAATATCTCCCACATTGTTTCCCCTACCCCACTCTTCATACGCTTTTTCAAAATCCTAAATGCAATAAAAACTTCCCATTTTATCAAAATACTGTTCACATATAGCTTCAATGAAACATTGACTCACATCCCAAAAATTAATAATAATTGAAATAAAAATTTAATACACCTCCCCCCGGCTTACGACCAAGCAGGGGTTTGCCCCAACGGTTTTTTTAAGTCAAAATGGCGCAATCAATTTGAAAATTGCCGCATATGGGTAAGCCATAACGTCAAATTTTTTCCTACCAAAAACAAAACCTCCATAGTACTGTAATGAAAGTACTATATTATTTCATTCTTTTTACCTAATTTTCTTTTATGTATATTTTTATTATTTATGTACTGTGTATAATGTAAACTGGTAGTGAACTGTATTGAAAATTTTTTACATCGCATCGCAAATATATTTTTTACTGTTAACTTTATTATTGTCCCAAAAAAGTGGAATGGAGAGTCCACTGGTAGTGTACCTGCAGAATGTATAAAACCTATACCCTAAGAAAAGAGAAAAAAACTCTGAACAGTGAAATACGTATCCGGGGCTGGCCGCGGGGTGGTTGGCGACTGAATGGGGCGTCTCTCTCTTTATCTCTCTCCTCTCCTCCTCTCTCTCTCTCTCTCTTCTTCTCTCCCCCTTCTTCTCTCTCCCCTCTCTCTTCTCTTCTCCCCCTTTTTCTCTCTTCTCTCTCCCCCTTTCTCCCCCCTTTCCCCTTTCCCCTCTCTCTCTCTCTCTCTCCCTGTATCTCTCTCTCTCTCCCTGTATCTCTCTCTCTCTCCCTGTATCTCTCTCTCTCTCCCTGTATCTCTCTCTCTCTCCCTGTATCTGTCTCTCTCTCTCTCATAGGTACACGTAAGTGAAGTTATCATACATAGTATAAATTACCTAGGATAACCCAAAAAATCCAAAGTGCTAAACAGTGGATCTGTGCTACAGTGCCCTAAATTAATAATAATAATAATAATTATTATTATTACAATAATACATATGTACTAACATTAATATTTTTTTTTTTCAACAAGTCGGCCGTCTCCCACCGATGCAGGGTGACCCAAAAAAGAAAGAAAATCCCCAAAAAGAAAATGCTTTCATCATTCAACACTTTCACCACACTCACACAATCACTATTTTTGCAGAGGTGCTCAGAATACAACAGTTTAGAAGCATATACGTATAAAGATACACAACATATCCCTCCAAACTGCCAATATCCCAAACCCCTAATTTAACCCTTTGACTGTTTCCGACGTATAAATACGTCTTACGAGCCAATGTTTCTGACGTATTTATACGCACAAATTCCAGCGGCTTCAAATCAAGCAGGAAAGGCCTGGTAGGCCTACATGAGAGAGAATGGGTCTCAGTGGTCGGTGTGCACCCTGTGAAAAAAAATCTGGGACCCAGTGGTGCACTGTGCGAACGCCATGTTGTTAGTCCATTTTCACCATGCCTCTCGGTAAGAAGTTCCTCACTCCTCGGCGGATTGGAGGTCTTTTGTTCCCAAGTGATAGCTCTAACAGCGATGAAAATGTCAGTGACAGTGAATTCCAGTGTTTTGAAGTGAGTGTTACCGGAAAAAGTGCCCAGGATAACATAATTAGTGTGAAAACCCAGATGACCCACAACCTTCCCCCTCTGGTGCTGGGCCGGCTTGTTCACGTTCACTTTTCGCCCTGAAACCAGGACGAAAGAGGAAACTATTTGGTCGTGTACAACACCCAGATGTTGGGCAGTGAATGATATTTTCAAGGTCATTGAAAGCAGTTCTAGTGACAGTGAGAGTGAATATTCCCCAGTGAACCCGGCAGTATGTCGAGTAGCATGCGGTCTGGTAGTGTTTCATAATGTTTTTCCCAAAAGGGAAGGAGAAACTCTGGGAGCACATCCCATGGCCCTACACCACGACCTGATAGTGAAGATGACGATATTGTAACGATGGGTATGAATGATGTGAGTGATGGAGCAGGCAGTGGTGGTGATTGTGAGGGTGGCATGGCCCATGTGGCACCATCAGCGGGCCACGCTACTACCCACGCTGCTGACTCTGCACAACAACCAGCCTCACCCTACCCCACACTCCCACAACCTGCACCACCACAACCACGGTACAATATCCAGACCCCACCAGCAGACCGCATCTGGGATTGGCAGGACGGTGACGAGTTTGTTCCCAATCCCCATGACTTTGATGAAACACAAAGTGGAATATAGCCATCTTGTCCACTTGGGAACAATGCCAGTGAACTGGACTGCTTTGAGTTATTCTTCAATGAACCCCTGATGGACATCATTGTCAGGGAAAACAAACACATACTGTGATTACACCATGGAAATACAATTCTCTCACCAAAATACTGCTACACAAGTGGAAGGAGACAACTGTGGCAGAGATGTACCTGTTTTTTGCCACAAAATGCTTATGCCACATGTGTATAAGCACACGGGTCACCACATATGGGCAACAGAACGCCTGATTTCAACTCCGGTTTTAGTGACATTATAGGTGTCAATTCGTTTCCTGATACTGTTACGTATGTAACACTTTTCAGACAAAACCAGGCCTGACAGAAGCGACAGGTTATATAAGATAAGAAATGTGTTTATGTACCTGAAACAAAAGTGCTGCATGTATTTTTATCCCTTCAGAAAGCTTGTTATTGATGAGTCCTTGTTTTTTATTAAAAGGAAGACTCTCATTCAAGCAATATATACCAAGCAAGAGGAAACGCTTTGGTATAAAGCTATTTGAAAC